AGGTCAATTTTTGTAAAATAAGATCCACCTCGAATCCGATCTGAACTCAAGACTTTCAGACCGGAAGGCGAGCGTCTAGCCATAACTGTTTAATAGTACGTTTCAAAACTCGTATCCTCACAATTTAACTGGAAACCTCTTGTATGGATTAATGTGTGGCCTTAGATTTCCAGTGTCGCTGTTTTCATAATTTACAATTGCACATTTAGTGTCATAAATCGGTGAATTTCTTTGATTTTGTTTGAACAATAACTTCTGTACCCCTTAAGAAAAAAATAGTAATGAATGCATGCGTCGAGATTGTCTAGAAAGCAATTCACATGTGCAGTGATGCGTTGTAATTATTTTGATAGCGTTTCCCACACACAATGAAAAATTGTGGTCATGTAATTCGCTGGAAGCTAATGCTGGAAATGGCCACATGAAAGTGAAACTTCAAGGACACGCGTGCAATTTGATGTTTTGAGAAATTTCCCATCAGTTGACCTCGATTAGCTGACTGATTTGAATGTCTGGTTTGTTTTTTAACCGCAAATAAAAGCAAAATGAAAACTATATGATCGATTAAAAAATTACGGCGGCAGAAATGTTGAAATGTTGCATGCAAAATGTTAACAAACGATCACCGAAACGTTACCGAGTTACACATTTTAAAAGTTGACCGCGACTTTTGGAACGAACTAGTTATTTTCTACGCAGACAGACAGCAGATATTCTATGCAATGTATCTTCGTCTACTGATTGAAAACAACTTGTTCTGAATAGTTATATTGAGACAGTCAAGACGTTTTCAAGTGACTCATGGCCAGTTGGCCAAGAGTTGAAGAGTTATGGGGGAGACTGCCTGACTGACTTTCTACCCCACCATGACATCACACAAGCGATAAACACCCGGTGACACAAAGTGCTACCATGAGGATGAGGATCAGCCATGGAGAGGTCCCAGAAACCCCTTTCAGCCGTTAGGCTATATTCCGGGCCCCCAGCAGAAGCCAAGGTGGGGTTTCAAATAACAAAATATAGCTTCCCACATGGGGACGAATTTAAAATCTTTTTAATGTGGGAGCTGCAGTGATGTTGTTTCATAGAAACATTCCTTTGTTCGTATTCTGCTTTCTTTTCCTTTGTTCATATTCTGCTTTGTGGGGCTAGGCAGCGAAGATTACCAGATGAGTTAGGTCATGCTCGGTTTCCAAGTATGCTGTGACGTTGTGGAGTCTCAAGGTACGCATAACTCCTTCAATTCGTCTTTTTCTTGACCGTCCTTTACGTCTTATTGTTTAGACTTTCATGTTGTACGCTCTCGTTTCTGGCATCATTGGTGTCACTCTGATTGAATCGCCGCACCATTTAAATCTTTGACAATGCTTTTTTTTTTCTTTTTCTTCTTTCGTTCGCTTGAAAGAGAGAATATCTATATCTGCATTGTTGTCTCTAGTATGAAATTCACTTTCTTTTGTAATTCACTCAGCGACCCGTAAAGTTTGGCTTGATCCGATGTTTCTCTTGGCCAAAAGTTTTGCCTTGATATGTTGTATTTGGGACAGTCTTGGAGGACATGATCAGTTGTCTCAGGTGCCAGTCCACATGTGCACATGGTTGATTCGCCATTTTAAATTGTGTGTACATGTGGCTGCCAAGTTGATTGTGGTCTGTTCCGAAATGTCTAGAGTTTTAAATTTACTTTACCTAACATAAATCCTTTGTTGAGACAGAGCATCCGCTAAATGGATGGATTTCGTTCCTGGGTCTAAACATACGAGAGAAGGTTAGTTGGGTCTCCTTTACACTGGCTATTGTGTGGTTTTTCTCGGCAAATTTAAGTCCAGTAGTTTGCACGAGAGAGAAGACTGAATTATAAAATAATGTATATATATACATAAAATTATGTACACTGCCATAGCAATGCAAAGATTGAACAGCCTTAAAAGTCTATGGTTAAGCACCAGCAGAAGGAGATCAAAATTAGAATTTTGAGAGCATGCATCTTCCCTGTGGCTACATACGGATGTGAGTCGTGGACTATCTCTCAGTCCTTAAGAAAGAGAATAGGGGCTTTTGAGCTGAAATGCTATAGAAAGATTCTCAGAATATCTTGGACAAAGAAGAAGAGAAATATTGACATCTTGAAAGATCTGAACATCAAGGAAGTTGGCTAATAAACAGCATCCTGTCTCGGAAGTTGAAATATTTTGGTCATATCAAGCGCCACGACTGATTGGAAAAAAATTATAGCAGAAGGCATGGTACCAGGAATGAGGGGCAGGGGCCAACCAACACGAAGATGGGCACAGGATATAAGTGAGTATGAAAGCACATGAGGCGGGAGAACTGGCGAGAGACCGAGTTTCTTTCAGGCAGACTGTGATGAGAGCGACGTTCTGCAAAGGACCTGCTAGATGATGACATAGTTTTACTGTCATCAATGTTATAAATACATGATAATATAAATGTAGATTACTTTTTTTTTTTTAAAAATAGGGACCCTGTATTATTTCTTGGGAAACATTATCTAATATCTCTCTCCCTCTATACACACACATACACACACACACACACACACACATATATATATATATATATATATAAAGACAACTTATCACAGACATCAGAAGGAGACAGTCATCATTTTTCGGCCATGTTATGAGAAGAGGGAAAATAGAACATGTTGTCACCACTGGAAAGATCTGTGGAAGGAGGGATAGAGGAAGACAATGAGAGAAGATTCTTGACAGTCTTGTAGCATGGCATGGAGGTGTGTCAGAACACGAACTGATACATGCTGCAGGAGATCGTGGATTATGATCGCCCACGCCAGTCGGCAAGGCACCTGATGATGATGATGATATATAAGTATATGTATATGTCTTTATCTCTCTCACCTAGCCCACCCCTCCTTTCTGTGTCTCTGCGTGTATTGTGGCAATATATGTTGTGTCTGTGTGTGTTATGACTGTGTGATTGTGTCTGCTTTTGAGTATATGTGTATCTGTAACACCTGTGTGTGTTTTGTGCAAGTGTGTATGTGTTGCGTCTATGTATATCTGTTGGTACTGTTAGCGTATGTATTTCCGCATATTTTGTGTCGGTGTTTTTATGTGTGAATATGTGTGGGTGTATGTTATCTGTGTGTGCGTCTCAGTGGCTATGTAAGTGTGTTTTGTGTAAATGTGCGTGTTTGTGTTAGGGCTGTACCGAATAGTGATTTTCACTATTCGGCCGAATACGAATAACAGGACCAACAATTCGGCCGAACACGAATAGTGTATAGTGTATAAAATATATCTCAAACACACACACACACACACACACACACACACACACATTCATAATGTCAAATGTAAGCTGAATTTTTACTTCACATAAAGTAGCACAGAATAGTCATCTTATTCTTTAGCATTCTGAGCCCGTGAGGTTTACTGTTGCAGATATCACTCGTCTCCATTCATCTCTCTGGCTGACCTTATCTTCACAATTTGTGACACCAGTTGTTTGCAGCCTCGCTGGACATTATCTCTCGATATTCTTTTTTGTCTGCCTCCTGGTCTACGCCTATTCCTCTCTCACGTGTATACAATTTTACTTCTCTGTCATCTGACCTTCTTTCAATGTGACGTAACCATTTTAGTCTGTTAGCTTTCATGATGCCAGTGATCAATGGTGATTTTAACAGATTATGTGTTACGTTGTTGCTTCTCACTCTTAATTCCCCGCTATTAGCATCTTTGATGGAACCTGTAACAAGGCCTCGTCTTTTTTTTATTTCTGCTTCAAGTTTCAGAGCCATATAAAACGACTGGTCTTATCAACGTTTTATATATTTTGATATTGGTATTGCGAGATAGACACTTTGACTTTAGCAGATGTTGAAGGGCCTAGTATACTTTATTTCTAGATTGATTTCTAGATCGTATGTTGAAGCAGTTGAAGTTTGCACCCAATTACTAATAGGTTTCCGTTCGTTTGATTTCAGATTATCGACTTGAATGTGGCGGAGTTTATATACTTTCCATGTCTAGTTAGTATTCATACAGAATAGTGGACATTTAAAAACATTTTATGTTTTGCATCCTTCAGTCAGTCTGTGGTAGCTAATAACTAGGAATGAAAGAATCCTAAGTATTATAACAAGTAACTAAACTTGGAAATTGTCACTGACAGGTTAGTTATTGCATGAAAACTGCATTAGCTTTCAACAAAAACAAATCGTCCAATGTTGTCAGTAATAGAGCCGTGTATGCAGAAGCGGGTGTAAGGTAACTACTATTCGTATTCGGCCCGACCGCAACTATTCGGTCGAATACCGAATAGTCAATAGGTCCACTATTCGGCACCGAAGCGAATACGAAGCGAATATTCGGTACCGCCCTAATTTGTGTATATGTGTACGTTTGTGCCTCCTCTCTGGGCGTAAGCCTAACTTGTTTGTCTATCTCGTGTATGTCTGCACTAGGAGTTTTGTTGTTGTTGTATATTTACTTGAAGATATGAATTTGATATCCAGGCTTTGGTATTATTACTGTGCATTTGTACTATAAATAAGTTTTGATATATGAACATGAAATGCTCAATTTGTAAAATGCAATTGCCGTTAGAACTATGAGTATCTCAAAAAGGCCGAATGTAAGACGGGCCTGCGTCCCCAATTTATGACCCTTTTCGTTTCTCTCTCTCTCTCTCTCTCTCTCTCTCTCTCTCTCTCTCTCTCTCTCTCTCTCTCTCTCTCTGTCTCTCTCGTTCTTTTTTTCCATTTCGTACAAATATACCGCTTCGTATTGCCGGGATGCCGGGTTCGATTCCAGCTGCGGGCCATGCGCAATGCGTTGGTTTCGACAGTGGTATTAAGAAAGCCGACCTGCAGAAAGCAATGGCAAACTACTGGACGTAAATTTGCCTAGAGATACCACACAACAGCCAGGGGCTGTTGGGATTGGCTCTGCAACGTCCTGTAAAGGATACGCAACTAACCTTAACAGATATACCAGAAAACAAAGCCTTACCTGAAGATAACTGGGAGAATCCTCATCACCAGAATCAGCAGGATGGAATGTGTGGCCAGGAACGACAGCGGGAAGGCAAAGGTGAACCACACAAAAAAGCTGCCGCAGCCATGGACCCAGAAGCCTCGAACGAAGAAATCCGCAGTCAGAGGGCAGTAGAAGACACCAACGGTCAGGTCGGACACGGCATTGTGAAGAATGACTATGTTTTGTCTGTAGAATTAAAGAAAATATCTATGGATACTCTGGCTGCTTAGGTCAACAATGCCCCATTGGGTTAGAGTCACTTTCCTCGCAACACTATCCCTGGCATTTTGGTTCCTACGAATCCACCTAAGTACGGTATCATTCATGTCCCGCTTTCGCGCGTTTTACCTACCTAGGCTGACCATTGAGAAAACCGTTGCAATATTTGCTCTTTTCACTACCTCTGCAACGTCCTGTAAAGTATGTGTAACTAACTTTTCACTACCTCTGCAACGTCCTGTATAGGATGTGTAACTAACTTTTCACTACCTCTGCAACGTCCTGTTTAGGATGTGTAACTAACTTTTCACTACCTCTGCAACGTCCTGTAAAGTATGTGTAACTAACTTTTCACTACCTCTGCAACGTCCTGTATAGGATGTGTAACTAACTTTTCACTACCTCTGCAACATTCTGTAAAGTATGTGTAACTAACTTTTCACTACCTCTGCAACGTCCTGTATAGGATGTGTAACTAACTTTTCACTACCTCTGCAACGTCATGTATAGGATGTGTAACTAACTTTTCACTACCTCTGCAACGTCCTGTATAGGATGTGTAACTAACTTTTCACTACCTCTGCAACGTCCTGTAAAGTATGTGTAACTAACTTTTCACTACCTCTGCAACGTCCTGTAAAGTATGTGTAACTAACTTTTCACTAACTCTGCAACGTCCTGTATAGGATGTGTAACTAACTTTTCACTACCTCTGCAACGTCCTGTATAGGATGTGTAACTAACTTTTCACTACCTCTGCAACATTCTGTAAAGTATGTGTAACTAACTTTTCACTACCTCTGCAACGTCCTGTATAGGATGCGTAACAAACTTTTCACTACCTCTGCAACGTCCTGTATAGAATGTGTAACTAACTTTTGACTACCACAGTGTTTGTGATCTTATCTTTCTACCTAATGCCTACTATTAGTCTTAGGCATCGCACGTGTAAAAGCTGATAAACCATTTCTTCTGGTGTGAGAGAGTTAACCAAATTTCACTGCCTTAGAGCAGAATGCTGAGAACACAACCTGACTGACAAAGAGTTGTTGTTTTAATCATTAGCTTTCTATTTGATTTCTTAGTCCAGTGATTGAAAAAAAAAAAAAAAACATTACTGAGAATCCTAAAAAAAAAAAAAAACATTCCTTGATTCCTGTAAATGTTTTTTGTTGTTGTTTAAATGTGAAGGTAAAAGTGAGAGAATCGACTTCTTTGCATCGGGTTTTATCCCATATGGGCCAGTCTCTCTCCTGAAAACAGCTAGCCGCCTGCCCAGAGAGTCACACAAAGCACGATCTCTGTAGCTCCGGGGTGATCCCGGGAAGCTCCGTAAAATTGCACTCGTGAACTGAAGGGCGCCGCCATGTAACGAACCCACGACCTTTAGTGCGCGAGGCAAACTGCTTGACCACTTGGCCACTGAGATGCCTGATATTTTTTCTAAATTTTGAAGAAAACTGGAATTCGTTTCACAGTAAACTCCGGCTGAAAGTCCTGTTTGTTCGCCCACTTCTAGATTTTGGTGTGACTCCAGAACTCCATCTGACTCTTTGAGACAGTAAGCAGTCCTATTCCATAATCAATCAATGAAAGATCCAGTGCTGTTGTGGTGTGAAAAGCATTCTCTGCTCTATGTCCATTGGAGCCAAAGCCTTAAGTGCCATGAGTCCTTTTTGGCATCTCGTCACAACCATCCCCACATGGTCCTTGAAAGACAGGCCCCTGTCAAATCCGATTTTCAAATATTTAAGTTTGCTCTCTCTCTTGACGTTTGTAACATCTGTCATGAGACCTGGGACCTCAGCTCTAACAACAATACTGTTGTCTAGAGAACACTATAAAAGAAAATAAAAAAAATAAATAAAAAGACGCCTTTATTGGGCGGATGACTGCTGGTTTCCTGCCTCTCAGGCATATACATTCCGACTTCGAAGGAAACACCCTTATTAGTCAACCTTTACGACATGCGATGAGCCGTACGTCTATTCACCAAGCACACACACACACACACACACACACACAAACGCATACACACACACAAAGATATATATATATATATATATATATATATATATATATATATATATATATATATATATATACATATATATTTATATATGATACATACATACACACCACATACATACACACACATACGTACGTACACACATACATATGAACTCACCGACTGTTGAGAAGTTTAACATTGGTGATCAGAAGAAAAATGAGAAATATATTTGACGCAGAAATCCATATGGTGTACAAAATGGCTGCCGTGGCACTTCCGCCCTGGCTACCCCAAGGATGGTAGAGGGCGGTGGAAAAGTTAATCACGTGATGAGAAGATAGAGAGAAGTCCTCCTGTAATGTTCCTGTCCATTCTTCGGGGTGAACGGAATTCTGAAAAAAAAAAAAAAAGAAATGAGAAATGATTTGTATTAATTCTACAATAAGAACAAAAGCAATTTTACACAAGCTGTCCACCTTCCACCACACATGTCTACGTAGAATTATCAAAATTTTCTGGCCAGATACAATCTCAAACACTAAACTACTTCAAGACACAAACCAAGAAACTTTAGACGGTATGATAACCAAGAGAATATGGAAATAGCTTGGCCACGTTATGAGAATGAATCCTGATATACCTGCCAAAACAGCTCTCACATGGAATCCAGAGGGAAAGAGAAAACAGGGGCGCCCAAAAACAACATGGAGACGAACGATGGAAATTGACCTGAGTGCGGCATCTCTGACATGGAAAACTGCAAAACTGCACTGAATATTGCACAGGACAGGAAATCATGGAAAGTCCTCTCTGAAGCCTCATGTGCTACTATGCATAACGAGAACTGAGAGAGAGAGAGAGAGAGAGAGAGAGAGAGAGAGAGAGAGAGAGAGAGAGAGAGAGAGAGAGAGAGAGAGAGAGAGAGAGAGTTTTAATTCTATAATAAGAACAATAGCAATTTTACGGACCCTAACAATTAACGTATATCAGGCCAATCAAACTTTAGGCCAAACGGCACCAATTCTGAAATGCAAGCATGTGAATATGAGCACTAAAAGAAGAGTGTTCCAAGGTTCTTACCAACGCTCTGCTATCAATTTCAAACATGGACAACGTATTCAGATGCAGAAGGAAAATAGTCACGACAAAAATGAAATTTTTACTTACTATGCTAGGTGTAAGGAAGAAATATCGAATTAGAAACGACGATATCAGGAGGAGGGTCGGAACAGAACCAATCCTGAACTTATAGTTTGAAAACAAATCAAATAGTTTAGCCATGTTACAAGATTGGCATCAGACACAGCATCACAAAGAGTGATTTCATACAGATGCAGCTACAACAGAGCCAGAAGTCGTCGACGATGGACCGCAGAAATATCAGAGACACTGAAAAGTACTTTATACGAAGCGAAACCAAGGGCCAGTTCCAGAGATCTCTTCCTGTTTTGACGCCACGAGACATTCCAGGAGTAGAGAAAAGAACAAGAGTGTGATGACCCTGCTTTGCATGGTCTCCACGATTACATTGTGGCAAGCAGAAAGTCCGTGCAACAAGTGACGGCACTAGATACTTGTGGCTAGTCATGTAAGCGAGGGAAAGCCCGAGCTAGCCTCTTGGTCAGTTGATAATCAGAAGTCAGAGAAGACGGTTGTATTAGATTAAGATGTAGTTCCTATGTCGTGCGTGTGACCAGTAATAGAATATGTCGCGAGCGATAGAAGTCTGAATAATTGTTGAACCATGTGGAATAAGTGGAACTGAAAAAACTGATAGTATGTATAAGAAATCCGAGTAGTGTTCGTGTTATTAACCCTAGAGCAGAGCAAGTTAAGTTGTAGTAATCATCATAGAGAGTGAACCATGGCGAAAGCAGATACGCCGTGAGTCAAGGTGCATGTCGTAAGACGTCGGCCAAACCAAGGTTCATTCCAAAGAGGAAGATCAAGACAATATGGAGGTTAGCTGAATTTCTTTGCGTCGAGTCAAATTAGTGCATATCAGGAAAATCACCCCATCACGTGGGGTGCGAGATTTCCCACAGGCTGTTCTATGTTCGAGGGGTGTCATGGTTTTTTTTTCAACGTTGTGAGGGGCCAACACTGTGTGTGTTACGTGTGTTCGCTCTTCATCACTATCACTGCATCCTTACTTGGTGACTTAAGCAAGAATCCGCCCCAAAATGTAACTAATTCTAAAAGCAGTGACAGCTGCACAGGAGACATGGTAGACATAGAAAAGAAAACAGTTGAACACTGAAACACTCGCAATGTCGCCTGCCACGAAAGAGACCTCCACACTTTCGTTGTTAAACTTAGGGGGGGAGGGAGAGAGAGAGAGAGAGAGAGAGAGAGGGTGAGAGAGAGAAGGGGGGGGTGAGAGAGAGGGGTGAGAGAGAGAGGGAAGGGGTGTGAGATAGAGAGAAAGTGGGGGTGTGAGATAGAGAGAAAGTGGGGGTGTGAGAGTGAGAGAGGGGGTGAGAGAGAGAGAGAGAGAGAGAGAGAGAGAGAGAGAGAGAGTGAGGGGGGGGGGAGGGGGAGAAAAAGCTAAACGCTAACAAGATTATTGAATTTAGCAAACAATTTCAAAGAATCGTTAACTGTCTCACTAGGAGTATCCGTAGATCTATATTTATCACCATTTTGCCACGGATGGAGGGGGTGTATGCATGCTCCTGGTGACCTGATTTATTGTACAAACATTTGGATTGATCCGTGAAACTCAACTGTTTACCTCTGAGAACGGAAGTAACTGACTAGAAGGATGATGGGAAAGGTGGCCATGTTTATTGACCTGTATTTAACTAAAGACTCCACATATACAGTGATCTTGAAGGGTTCCGCAACGTCTGTAGGACATGCAACTAACTTTGGTTTTTAACCTATGTTCTAAACGACCAAAAGAAATGATGGTTGGTGGCTTAAGACAGTGGCATGGAGGAATATCATCAGTAGAATTGATCCAGAACACCAAAGACGGAGATCTATGGTGACGTAAAAACGCGTACGCCAGCTGGCAAGGCGATGATGATGTTCTGAAATTTTACTGAATATGATATAAAAAGGTCTTAGTCGAAACATAATAAAAAAATGAAAGAAAAAATTAAAAAAACTATTCATAAGTAAAGAGAGAAAAATAATTGATAAAGTAAAGGCGCCGTTGTCTGGTAGAGATTTTGCAGCAGATCGCATTCCGGTGGTTTCGATAATAGTACCCAGAGCCGACATTTCACAAAGCAAAGGCAAACTACTAAAAATAATATTGCCTAGTAAAATCACAAACAGGCAAAACATGCTGAGTTTGATTCTGCAACTTCATTTAAAGGATACAAACTAACTTTTACTCAGAGCTAGTTTTAACACATTGTTGCCGAATACTGGACTATTAATAATGGAGCTAAACAATATTTTTTTGAAACCTCAAAGATGCGATTTTACTAATGCCTAAATTCTTTGGACAGCCAAAATGAATAATTAAGATGGTTAGAAAGAAATGTATTTATTTTTGTGAAAACTTATCACAAATTTAAGACACTAATCAATTTTTGTCTTTTTACGAGAAGAAGGAAGATGGAAGATGTGACCAATGGAAATATTTGTAGAGATCGTCATCATCATCATGTAACCTGCTGGTAAGCGTAGGCTGTCATGTTTCGCCGTCTTAAGTGATCATCAGAATTCCAGATCAGTTCAATGTTTTTGTCACTCTAGGTTTTTATCGCTTTGCCTTTCTCTTGTTCTCTTTCCATTAATTTTGCCAGCTGTCACCAAGTTCTCGAGTGGATTCATTCTCATAGCATGTCAACAACAACAACAACAACAACAACAACAACAACAACAACAACAACAAAACAACAGCATGAACAACAACAACATGAACAACAACAAGAACAAAAACAACATGAACAACAACAACATGAACAACAACACCACACGAACAACAACAACATGATCAACAACATAAACAACAACAACAAGAACAACAACAACATGAACAACAACAACAACATGAACAACAACAACAACATGAACAACAACAACAAGAACAACAACAACATGAACAACAACATGAACAACAACAACAACAACATGAACAAAAACAACAACACACAGGAACAACAACAACAATAACATGCACAACAACAACGTGAACAACAACAACAACAAGAACGCCAACAACAACAACAATAATTCCGATTTGAACCTACCACATTAGCATCTGCAGGCAAGCGTCTAGCTGTTACAAAACGGCCTCTCCCATTTGGTATATGGTTCTAGACCTATATTTTTATAGACCAATCGGCTTTCGCTGAGTGATGTAATCAATATCACTCTGGTCGCCTTTACTTTCCATGATTGTAGATACAGAATGAGACTACGCGAGAGGTTTTTTGGCATGGCAAGGAGAGGTATCAGCACACCAACTGATACATGCTGCTGATAACTCACGCCAGTCGGCAAGATACTTTATGATGTTGATAGGTTATGGGGGAAAAACAATTACTTCAAATCTAAAAAAAAAAAAAGAAAAAAAAAAAAAAAGAAAAGTGGATAAAAAGACTACAACCTCCCCAAAAATTGTTGCAAATATTTGTATTTGTCTTGTTCTCTTCCTACCCTTTTCAATGCACCTCATTTTCTGTTTTTTTTTTTTTTTTAAACAAACGCTTGTAAATTAGGGGTGAATAATTATTCAATATTATGTACACACAAACACACACACACACACACACACACACACACACACACACACACACACACATTGATATATATATATATTTAAATACTGAAGAACAAATATCTGGGAACAATCACATCATCAGATAGAAAATGTATGACATACATTACAAGCAGAATAAGTCAAGCGAAAGCAGTATTTCAGAAAATGAAGAATGTTTTATGCAGTGAATTGCTGTCATTTAATTTCAGAGAACGCTAAATGTTACATAGAACTGCTGTATGGCAGCGAATCTTGGAATGTCATTGAACAAATTAGGAAGAATTTGGAGGCAACAGAGGTGTGGATTCTGGGACGAATGTTACGAACACCTTGGACGGTTAGAATAACTAACAACGATTGTTTAAAAGAAGCTAATGAAAGCAGATCTCTATATACAACAAAAAAGAAGGAGACAAATACTGTTCTTTGGCCACGTAATGAAAAGAGAGGCATTGGAAAACATGGCGACAACTGGAAAGATCAGTGGAAAAAGGGTAGAGGCAAACCAAGCGAGAAAATGCTGGATGGGCTAAAATAATGGCATGGAGGAATATTATCAAATGAGCTGTTCCAAACATGGATCGTTATCTGTGAAGATGCATGAGCGTCTTCACCAACTGACAGGGCACATGATGATGATATATATATGTGTATATAACATATCCCATATAT